AGCAAAAATATATGCATGCATATACTCGTAGGTGCTTGAGTTTTGTACGTGGGCGCCGTTTGAAATCGACTCGTAGGGCTTCGGATTTATAGACTTGTGGGGTAAGGATCGGGGTTGTTATAAGTTATAAGGGTTCGTAACTCGTACATGGGTTACTAAAGGCCTTAGGAAGGTTAGTAAAAGACTCAGCCGTAAACTATATCGAAATCAGAGCCCACGCATGCCTTCTGTCAAGAATGTGTACACCCAACTTTGCTAGCATTCCCTTCCCAAGAGCCTCAGCAATCCTGATCTTCCAAAGGCTCAAGATACAGAAATTCTGAGTCCTGAGCGATTTTGCCGACTCCTTTGCCGCTGCCTCCATGACCCAGAAGCATCAAAGGATAAACTGTCCCAGCAAAGCCCGGCATGGCAAACAGCCAACAGCACCTTTGCACTTACATTGCTGTTCTGAGCGACACCCCTCTGAGCCTGACCCCTCAGCCAGCAGCTGCGAAAGCCTGAAACAAAACCAATGCCTGCCAAGCCGTAGGCTGGCGCAAGATCATCCGCGCTGTCCTGCCCAACGGTGATGCAGAGGTGAGGTCTCACGTAGTCAGGACTGTGGACGTCATCGTTGCTACCCCGACCAATGCATGCGATCTGCCTTCGTGTTGCATGCTTTGCAGTTGTCTTTGCTACTCTTCCTGCTTATATTCAGGTGGATTTCCACTGCCATGATGATTACGACGGCGACGATGCCGAAGACCACAGCGAACACGACAGCGACGCCAACGATGACGACTGCAAAACCGCAACTGCTGCTGCTACTGCTGCTGCAGTGCTACTGCTGGTACTGCTACTGCTGATGCTACTACCGCGACTGCTTCTACTGCTGCTACGACGACAACTACTACTAGTGCTACTGCTACTGCTACTAATGCGACTAATTACTCAGACGACTGCGACTACTAGGCTTAGTTGGTAGGGTAGGGTTATGACTAAGGTAACTATATAGGCTATAGGTAATAGTATAACCCTGCCTACTGAGTTTGTCAAGCCTCCAATTGCTCCAAGTACGCCGCGACTAGCACTACCCTCAGCACAAGCCTTGATCTCAGTCTCAGTCCTTTAGGCACTGACTCCAGAACGCTGAATACTATGCCCAAGCACTCCTATACTACTTGTAGAACCCTGCTATAGAACCTGAATAAGTAGCACATAATTATTAGCACTAATATCCCGCACAGTCCATAAATGCTGCCTTTGTTGTCAATTTTTGTTTAGTCCAGAGCCCTGTTCCAATTGTTCATGCCTTTGTAAATGCAAATGGCGAGCCTATAAAGCCCCAGGCAACGTTGTAAAACGCTTTTACGACGCTGCACGACGTATGGCAACCCATATGACATTTTATCAAACACAATAAAGCCCGATAGCAGCCTTCTTAAACCCTACAAGTAACCTCGTAAGTTTGTGAATCACTAGCAACTTCTTGAAAGGTTTGTGAAACCGTGTAACAGGCTGGCAAAACTTTCAAAAGCCCTATAACAAGTTTCCAAAAGCCTCTATACTCTCGAGACCTGGCTCGCCTACATAAATCCCGACCATACAGCCTTGATGGTTAGAATTGGGTTTCACATCCAACCCTCTAGACTCAGGAGCTGTCACTAAGCCCCCCACAAAACCCAAAACCCCTAAACCCTAAGCCCTATAAACCCTATAAGCCCTATAAACCCTATAAACCCCTATAAACCCAAAACCCTTAAACCCTAAACCCCAGCTTTTGGTCCCTTCGATTCGGTTCCTCGTTCCAGGCTGCTCCCTGGTCAGACGCCGAGCTGAGGCCGCTTTTGGGGTGCCGCAGAAGCAGGGTTGTTCCTGCAACAAGTGTCTGGAGCGGATCTATTCCAGGCTCCTTTTGCAGGGATCTACAAGTTTAGGGAATTATGGTGATGTGGGGTTGATAGATTAGGGTTTGGGGTCGTTTATGGTTTTGTAGTGTTTAGGGTTGTTTAGGGTTTTGTGGGGGGTTTGTTATAACAAGTTTTCCCCCTAGGGTTTACACGTTGTTTTTGAACTTAAGAGCTTTTTTGCCTTTGCGAGTAACAGTAGGGCTCTGGGTTGTAATGTTTCGGGTTTTAGGTACCAGGGCCTTAGGGTCTAGCGACTTGGGTTCAGGGCTTCCGGCATTTGGGATTCTGGGTGCTTGAAGGGACTGTCGAGTCCAGGTGCTTATGATCTTGATCTAGCTAGGTGCTTACTGGCTTCTTCTGGGGCTTGCGAATGGCGGTTCTTACAGGGGAATGTGTCTTTTGGCTGTAGGACTTTAGGCGTGGGGCTTCAGGTTTTGGGCGTGAGATTGAAGCTGTGGGTGGATCATGATCCGATTGCAGGTCTCAAGCTTTTGCTGCGTCCAAAGGGTGTGGGGCGGGTGGGAAGGACTTCTTCTTGCCGTCTTCCATCTTCAGCCCTTACTTTACTATTGGCATTTTGGTGTCCTTGTCTTTCCTTTCTTGTGTTGCATGTCATGATTCGCTGCCACTGTGCAGTGTGTTCTTTTTTGCACGTTTGTGTCGCTGATGTGGTCCACCGGTGTGTAGACATGGTTATTTCGTGCATTTCGTACTGTTCTTCTCGGTTTAACTGGGCTCGGCTCTAGTCTAAACCCTGAGCTTCTGAACAATAAACCACAAAGCGTTTTTATCCAAAGGCCTCGTGCCTCTGTCCTTAGCCCTAAGCCCTATGCCGCATTGTGAAGCCTAAGCCTAAGCCCCGTGGTGACAGGCAAGCCCCATGGTGACAGGTGCAGACATTTGCGATTTTCGGAGCTGCATAATTTCGACACCTAGACCTCAAAGGATGTCTTGAACTCGTCCTGAAAGCCTGGAGACCCCCCCCAATCTCCGAGCATAATTTGTAAGCGCTCAGCCCTAAACCTCCTAAACCCTACATGCTGCAAGAAGCTACCAGGAAGTTGTGCGCTGCTTTGTGGCGCGATTTTGCCGATCCCCTCGAGCTCCTTCTGACTGCATTAGGGTTCCTTCAATGGGGGTTTTGTTAGGCTATTTGTGGGTTCAATGGCTGTGGGGCCTGCAGCTTTCGGTTGGTGGCTTGGGGCGAAATTCTAGACTCTAGACTTCAACCCTCGGATCTGCAAGTCAGGAAGCATCAACTGTCTAAACTCAACGGAGCCGTGGCGGGGGGTGTGCGGATGTCAGGGGCCAAACGAGCATCCTGCTCTGCCACAGAAAGTGAGTCCCGGAGCCCGACATTCCCTTTGCATGGTGTCTGGGTTCGGGGCTTAGTTTTCGAGTATTCCGCTGGGATTCATAAAGTGTTCCATCTGAAGGTAGAGTTGAAGAAAGATTTGGAGAAAAAGGCATCACACAAACTCAAACTATTCTCAGGCCCAGAGGTCTCTAAGCTTTGTTTAGGTTTTGGGGTAGAATTCAGGTTTCAAGATGTTTCGGTTTTCAGGGGTCAGGGAGTGCGGTTCAACGTCTCAGGGTTTAGGGCTGTGGACGGCTTGGTTCGGTTGGAGATCAACATCGCGGACCCCACACCCCTAATCCCCAAGCCTCCCCCAACCCTATGCACACTATATGCTATACAATATAGAAGCCTAAATAAGTACCAATAGTAGTCTGGGGTTCCTTACTATAACTATAGTAAAATATATCCCAAAAGACCACTCTAGTAATTAAGCTTCTATTTTAGCCCCAGAACCCAGAAAAGACAATCTCTACACATATCCCAACTGCCAAGGAAGGGAGACGGGGCAGAGGCCGAAACTGCCAGGACCGCCCTCTGTGAGAAGTAAAAAGGGAGTTCTCGTTCTTCTTCTTTTCAGGCTCAGGCTCAGGATCTAAATTGGAGCCTTTTTGGTCGGGGCAACTACTCATGCCGCCTATTCTCTAAGCCCTACTTAATCCATCGATCCTGCAACGAGGGGACTTCCGCTAGGCTTGAAAGATCTGGTCTGGGCGTTGGTTTTGCAACTCTGTGGAGTCCGACTGAACGCGCATACAGCCTTAAACCCCAAACCCTAAAAAAAACCTAAACCCCTAAACCCTAAACCTTAAACCGCCTTAGTCTTGCACCTCAAGCCCTACATAGCGCAATCTAAGCCCTGAAACTCCGACCCTCGCCCTCTCCTCAATAAATACCAACCCTCCTCGACTCTGAACTCCCCGTTAACCCCGAACTGGTTTAGGGTTTGGGTCTTGGCACATATTCCCGTATCTCAGCTCAGTGTTTCTCACGTTTTGCTGATCTTATTTTGCCTTGTCTTCTTCTACCTGGCCTGCTCTCATCTGACCGTAGCTTATAAAACCCAGATGCATAGATAAGTTGATACATGAATACACAAGCGAATACGAATGAATATACATATATCTATCTATCTGTCTATCTATCTATCTGTCTATCTATCTATCTATCTATCTATCTGTCTGTCTGTCTGTCTGTCTGTCTGTCTGTCCATCTATCCATCTATCCATCTATCCATCCATCCATCCATCCATCCATCCATCCATCCATCTATCTATGTCTGTATACATGTAATGTATTTGTATACTAATGTATGAATATATATATATATGTATGTATGTAATGTATGTAATGTATGTATGTATGTATGTATGTATGTATGTATGTATGTATGTATGTATGTATGTATGTATGTATGTATGTGTATATATATGTACATGTTTACTCATGCTTTCGATTTGAACGACCTGCTGTCCTCAGCCTCTGATCGCTCGAGGATGTGGCAGCTGGCCTTGGGGAACTTTCTTAGTTCCCTTAACCTTTGCCCTCGTACTACTCTTGCTGAGAGTCTGCTGTTGGCCCTGAGTTGTTGGGTCCTCGGATTTGTGTGTGGGTCCTTAGTCACTGTGCTCATAGTGTCCCAGCGGTGTCGCCAGCTTCTTGGGCTTCTGGTTAGGGAGCTAGTTAGGCCGCTGCCCATCCAGAGTCCTGAGGATAGGCTAGCAGGGTACAGGCGAGCGCGTGACCAGTGAATGGGCCCCAAGTGCACTCCAACTGCTGCTTCGTCGTCCGCTTCAACAGTTCGAGTCACAGTGCAGGTGGATTTGCCAGCTGCTCTCCCCGAGGCTGCAGAGTGGGTGGTAGTGGAACATCCTCCCCGACTCCTTCCTGCTGTGCGTGATAGGTTGGCTGCTCGACTATCTTCTAGGAGTGCGAAGGCTTCTCCAAAGGATCGTATCGAGGCTGCCTGGGAGGCAGGTTACAACAGTCGCGACAAGGACTTGGCAGCCGAGGACGTCGTCAGGCCTCCTGGTCTTGGGATCTCGAACAGCTGCTGGTTGGGTGTCAGAGTGGATCAAACGGTGTGGGTGGTGGTTCGTCGTCGAGCCGCTGACGCTCTTCTTCGCAAAGAGCCTACTACACGGTTGGTGGCATTCCCCTCGCAGGCCGAGGCGGAAGCTTGGGTGTTGGGCTACGGCCTTGACCAGCTCCCTTCTTCTCAATAATGCCGTGGCGTGCTTTGGGAGTTAGGCGATCGGGGACTCTTCCCATTGCTGAGACTAGCAACGATCCTGAATGGCTTCTGCTTCGCCTTCCCGGGGAAACTTCAGTACGAGAGGCTGCCGTCGTTCCTATCCTGAGAAGGGTGGGTGGGCTGCTCTTGGGGATGGATTCCTCTTTCATCACCGCCACGGAGATAGCCAGTGGCACCATCGCGAATGTCACCAGTGCCCTTGGGCCCACCCGCATAGTCCAGGTAGACGGTCTGCCAGACGACGAGGACGCCGACCCCGTAGAGATCAGCATGCTTTTGGTGGATTGGCCCCAGTCTCATTACAAGTTTCTGCTGGGCGGGGGGACAGCTCCCAATTGGCCTGTGGGGACAATCTTCCCTCATTCCGCAGAGGAGGTGTTCCACGCGGTGAACTACGACCAACTGGACGAGGGACCACAGACAGATGCGTACCACACAGCTCCGGAGGCTGCTCCGTCTCGGCCACCTGCAGCCCCCGACGACCTGTTGGCCCAGATCCTAGCGCAGACCCAGGATACTGCCGCCTTGGTGAATCGGTTGCAGACCGAGCTACTCTTCCGAGTGGCTCAGTCGGGCCCTCGGCATTGGGAGCGGCCAGGCAACTTGTGGGAGCAGCACCCAAGACGAGGGCCCTGGCTACGGTCAAGGGGGGTCGTCAAGACACCGGCGCCGGGGCGCTCGGAGACGAGGATGTCGAGGAGGACGCCGAAGAGCTACCATTGGATCAGCTCCTCAAGGCGGCATTGGTGGGGATGTTGGACAAGAAGAAGCCAAAGACCAAGTCACGAACAACGGGCCTACCCCTCACCATGGACCATTCGGATTCCGAAGGGGAGGAAGATCCTTTGCGGCGCCTGAGTGGTGCCAAGGGCACGATGCTTCTGGAAAAGCTTCGGTTTGCCATGGAGAGCGAATCTCAGGCTTACATCAATGCGATCGAGGGCCTGGCCGCCCAAACGTTGGGCGAGGCCTCAGCCTCCGCCCACACCATGGAGAAGTACATCAAGGATCAGCTCCCGATTGGTGCCGAGCGTACGTTGGGCTACATGGTTTGGGGCATAGGGCGTGCGTTGACCCTACTACGTGGTGGGGAGACCGCCAAGGCGCACCTGGTGCTGTTGTTGCTGATTACAGCTACGGAGCATTTCAAGCTGGACAACACCTGGAGCTCAGCATGGCGGATCACACACTTGACGCCTCCTCCGTTTTCGGACTGGCGCACTCGCGGGGAGCACCACCTCGCCCAGTTACGCTCCGACCACTCGCACACCAGGTTGGCCCATGCCACGTGGATGGCCGCGATCGCAGCAAAGTTAAAAGACGAAGAGGTGCTGACAAAGAAGCGCTTCCAGAACCAAGGCGATCCACCAAACAGACCAGACAGGCCCCCTCGTGGACGCGGCAGAGGCAAGGGCGCACAGGAGGCGCCGAACACGCAGTGAAAATCACTGCCTGGTCCGATTTGCCACATTTGTTGTACAGTCTTCTTCGTAGATCAAGGACCAAATTTGGGAGTTTTTTGCGCAGCAGTTATAAGCGGGTGGGCCTTTCGGCTATGCCCTCCGCGGAGCTTTTGCCTTGTCCGATCCCGTTCCCATGGGAACAGGCTCCCTCCTCAGGGGGTTCCAGGCGCCTTGCGAGGTTTAAGCGGCGACGGGCCCTTGAGTTGATGGTCAATCTTCAGGTTTGTGCTTTAAACTTTGTGTTTCTTGGGTTCCCCTTTGTGTGTCCTCCACGGGGTTGCCGAGGGGAGCTTCGGAAACAACACGTCAGCATGATCCAGAGCCTTCTAGATCGGAATCGCTCGACCTGCCGCCTGGCTAGAGATCTTTCCAGTTGCGGCTCCAAGCTATCGTGTGTACAGTCTGAATTAGAAGCTTTTGAGGTTGCCTTTGAGTCCTTAAGGGATCTTACTTATGGGGCGGCCAAGCAACGCACGAGTTCTCCAGCCAGTGGCGCACGTACTGAGGTGGTGCCGCTTGTGGCGAGTCGGGTGGCTTTTCCTAGGGAGTTGAAGGGTTTTGATCCGATGCCATTTCTACCCGAGCCCTTTAGGACCGCGTATTCTGACCCCGATACTCTCTTAACCCCGACTTCGTCACCCGCTGTGGTGCCACCGTTGACAACGAATCGATGTGAATTTTGGCACTTGTGTTGGCGATGGGATTCAGTAGATCGGTTGCTGTTGGCAGTGGAGGACGAGATCTCCCCGGAGTGGGTTAGCAATCTTTTCTGTTTGGAGAAACCAGATCTCGAACTCAGGCAGATTATTGATCGTAGGCCTAGGAATTCTTTGGAGATCCCTCCGCCTGCTGATGCACCGAAGATGGGGCATGCGTCTGTTTTCCTGGGCATCTGTGTTCCGGCTAAAGGGTGTATTCGGGGTTCGGTTGATGACTTACGTAACTATTATCATGAGTTTCAGGTGTCTGATGATAGAGCCCTGTCTACGCCGGTAGGCCCCTTATGGTTTGCCAAAGACTTTGCCGGATCACGAGCCCTTGCCAAATTAAAGGAGCGAAGGCCTGACTTCACGATCACCGCGAACACTCGTTTGTACTCCTGTTTTGCGGGCCTTTCCATGGGAGACCACTGGGCTCCAGCTATAGCTCAAGTTGCACATGAGCAACTGTTGTTCTCTCATGGCGCCTTACGCGCGGAGGAGCATCTGAAATTGGGCCACCCAGTCCCGAGAGCCCCGGATGGTCACTATTCGGGAGTGTGCATAGACGATAAGCTGTCGCTGCAGGTTTTCCCACGATATATGCCGCCCGACAGGCCTGACCTTGAACCTGAACGTCGGGACCTCGAGGCATGCGCCCAGGCCGATACAGCTTATGCTAAGGTTGGTTTATCGTGCCATCCCAAGAAGCGCAAGCGTAGAGCCTCAGAATTTAAAGCATGGGGTGCGCATTTCGATGGCGATGCAGCTATTGTGGGTATGGACAGAGCGCGGCTGACGGTTTTGTCCTTTTGCACAGCCCTTTTGGCCTTGAAAGGGGTCGTTTCAGAAAACTTGCTGCAGCGGGTAGTGGGGCTTTGGGCGGTTGGGCTTCAGTTCCGAAGGCCTATGTTCTCTTTATTTCAAGTTGCCTATAACATTGGTCATCCAAACGGCAGTGCTCACGACGCCTTCCGCATGCCACACGACCTGCAACAGGAGTTGTTGGTGATGTCAGTGTTGGGTTCACTAGCTACAACCGACTTGAAAGCCCCGGTAGATCATTTCGTTTATGCGACTGACGCTTCGCCACATGGTGCAGGTATAGTGTGTGCCAGGCTTGGGCAACCTGTCACCTCAGAGCTTTTTAGGCGAGCTGATACAAGAGGTTTCTACACCAGATTGTTATCTCCCCCAGGTGCAGCTCTTCAGGAAGCGGGGTTCTCGCCTGAAGAACCTCTAGACTGGCCTTCTAAAGATAGTGTCAGCATTTCAGCCTCTGGGGTGCCAGACTGTCCTCGCCTACCTGTATCTACACCACCGGCAGCTGAGTTTGAGACGATCGTTGATGAGCTCTCAGAGCATTGGGAGGTGTTTGAGCGGTTTAGGAGGGCCTGCCTGGCTTCCTGCGCCTTCATGTGGAAGGCTTTTGAGCTTGATTTTGTGGAGGTGTATGCAGGCACCGCAAGACTGTCTAGGGCGTTCGCTAGGCAAGGGTTTAGAGTAGGTCCTCCTCTTGACGTCAATTCAGGTTGGGACTTGGACGCTAACGTGTTTGCTTTCCTCCTTAAGCTGAGCTCTGCAGGTAAGGTGGCCTTGTTGTGGCTCAGCCCTCCGTGCTCCACGTTTACGGTTTCACGCTGCGCACGTTTCCGCTCAGTTTCAGCCCCTTGGGGTTTCGATGTGTTGGATCTTGATACCGTATGGGGCAACCTTCACTTACACCAAAGCCTAGCGCTTTTCTGCTCCCAGCTTGCGGTCAAGCATGAAGCTGTCATTGAAACACCATGGGGTGCATATTCGCGGAAGCTTCCCTGGTGGCGAGTGTGCGCTAGTATAGGGAGGGAGTTTCGGGTTGACCTGTGCAGATTTGGTCTACTTAGTCGGAGAGCTACTTGCCTGTTAGCAACGTCATCAACTTTGGGTAGCATAGCTCGTAGGTGCAATTGCACATCTCCCCACACCAAGCTGGCGACCTCGTGCACCAGGGACTCAGCGGCGTATCCCGAGAGCTTTTGCGAGGAGCTCGCTCGGATTGCGCGAAGCATTGCAAAAAATGGAGAAAGACCAATGAAGCATGACTCGCGCGCCATTGATGATGACATGGGTGATATTCGGGATCATAGAGGGTCTCAGCGTTTTGTGAGCCATCTTTGGTCTACTCATTTGGCTGAGGCTCTACCATGGCGTACTCGTAGGGCCTATCGCTTCAAGCACCCAAATCACATCAATGTGCTAGAGGAGCATGCTCATAAGACCTTAATTCAATTGGCACCCATGGGGTCACGTTTGGTTGTCTTTCAAGACTCGATGGTCACATTGGGGGCCAACGCCAAGGGCAGGAGCTCTAGTCTAGCCTTGAATCGTTTGTTGAGGAAGTCTTTAGCTCTACAGCTTGCTAAGAATGTGTATGCTGTAGGCATTCATTCTCCCACATGGGCCATTCGAGCTGACGACCCATCACGCCAAAAACGGCTTCGGGCACCTCGTGTGCCGCTTCCTTCGTGGCTGCTGCAGTTGAGAGCAGGTGATCTGGCTGGGGCACAGGATGCTCTCGACCTCGCGTCCGGCACTCCGAGGTCCTGGGGCAGGTGGCTCTTGTTCATCCAGACTGCTCAGTTGGCTGCTAGTGGTGACTACTCTTCGTTCAGTGAGTGGTCCGCGGCCCACGCCGCAAGCCAGAGATCGCGCAGACCTGGAGCGAGGGCGAGTGACGGCCACTACAGCCTCCATCCGGGTCCTGTTGATGGAGCGGTTTCAGGATTGGATACAAACGGAAGAGCCCGACTTACGACCTCTGCCGGAGCTGGCGCGATGGGATCCAATTCAAGTTGCAACGTTGCTCGAGGAGTACGGCCGAGTGATGTACGAAGAGGGCTCCCCGAGACGCCAGTATGCAGAGACCATCAACGTCATGGTCCAGCACTTTCCGTACTTGAAGACGTTCCTGGCGGGCCCGTGGCGCCTCCTCACAACGTGGGAAGGCTTGTGGCCGGGGAAAGTCCATCCCCCGATGCCGCTTCCCCTGCTTCAGGCACTGGTGACTACATCACTGGCATGGGATTGGGTGCGCTTTGCCATGGTGCTCCTTCTCGGGTTCTACGCCTTGTTGCGACCCTGCGAAATCATTGCACTGAGGGTGAAAGATTGCTTATTGACTTCAGAGACCGGCATGCAGGATGTGATCTTCATTCGCCTGCAGCTGGTCAAGAGCAGGACGCGGGGAGCACGCATGCAAAGTGTACGACTGGACATGCCATACGTGGTCGCTTTTCTCAAGAAGTGTTTCAAAACCATGCAGCCCGAAGAAAGAATTTGGTCTTTCTCATCAGCAATACTCAGAACGAGGCTCCAGCAGACATTGGCAGCTGTGACTAATCAGCCCAACTTAGTCTTTCCCAGCTCGCTGCGTCCGGGTGGTGCCACGTTCTGGTTCAGAGAATGGCAGGAGGACCTGCCACGCCTTCAATGGAGGGGTCGTTGGATGCATTTTAAGACTTTGGCGCATTATATCCAGGAGGTGGGTTGCATCAATGTCTTAGACCAGCTTAGTAATGCAGCCAAGACCCGCGTGCACACTTTGGCCGCCTTGACTGAAGCGGCTTGCAAGGAAACAGTGGTGGTAACAGACCTGTCTTCCAAGGTCCAGCGACTTTTGACGCTAGTACAGAAGCAATCAGCACGGAGTTCCACATGAACCTGACTACTCTGCAGTCCCGCCCACCCATGCCCGAGTCAGTAGTTGGGTAGGGGGCCACTGTGGCCCTAAGGCTGTGAATTGTTGTGAACTCTCCGCTGCTTGCTGCGTCAAAAAGAAGTGGGCTCGGACAGCGATGGGAGTGGCTTGAGCAAGCATGTTCACCCATGCTTTCGATTTGAACGACCTGCTGTCCTCAGCCTCTGATCGCTCGCCACCGCCACCCCTCCACCTCGGGGGCCACTGTGGCCCTAAGGCTGTGAATTGTTGTGAACTCTCCGCTGCTTGCTGCGTCAAAAAGAAGTGGGCTCGGACAGCGATGGGAGTGGCTTGAGCAAGCATG